GCGCTTGCGGGTGGAGTACATGATGCTGAAGTCGTTCTCGCCGGCCCGGAGCAGCCCCTCGTCCGCCTCGCGCAGCTCCGCGATGCAGCCCACCAGCAGCTCCAGCTGCTCGTTCTTCTTCCTGCGAGAGGCCGGCCTGTAGGCGGCGCCTCCCTGACCCCCCGGGCCGGCCGGGCGCACGCAGCCCGCAGCCCGCCTCCTACATCTCACCCCGCCGGGGCGGGGCGGGGCTTCCCAGCCAGACGGCCCACGTGGGCAGCATCCCGCATCCGCTCCCGCGCCCGCGCCTCTCCTCTCGGCTCCTCCAGGCCCCCCTCCTGCCCCGACAGTCACTGACAGCCCGTCTTCACCAGACCTCATCCTTGGGGTCCCAGCTTAAGCCGGGCTCCCCTGAGCACCCACAATGCCTTGGCCGGCTCCTGAAGCTCCAGGCAGCTATGGTCAGTGTGTCCACTCGGCTACCATCTAGCTTCCCCTACAATGCGCGCGGGCAGCCCCGTCCCCCCCCACACACACACCTGCTCCATCCTGTTCCTACCTGCCCGGCAGCACCTGCTACAGGGCTCAGGTCAGAGCAAACAAAGATGGCACAGTCCTGAGCCCAGGTCTGGCCCTTGGGGCCGCCCCGCGAACCTTGGCGGGGGGAGGGGGGTGTCTGAGCCCCCGGCCAGGCTGTGGCTCCTCCCCCTCTCCGGGGAGAGCCTCCTGTCCGCTCTGCCCTCTTACCAAGCTCGCGTGGACACGATCTTGGCTCCATTCCTCTCCATGGAGTAGCGGGTACAGGGCAGGATGGTAAAGCCGCTCTCGGGCAGGAAGGCGCGGAGGTAGCGATAGATCTGGGGGAGGGGAGCGGGTGGGCAGGGTGAGGTGGCCGGGCAGGGTCGTCCTCGGCCCCCTCTCTCCTGGGCTCTAGCCCCGTCCTGCCGCGGACTCGCTGTGCGGTCTCGGGGAACTTGCGTCCCCTTCTCGAGGGGAGGGGGGCCTCAGTTTCCCTCATCTGTCAAACGAAGAGATCGGACTCCGCCTCAAGGTTGCAGGCTCAATTGCCAGTGGGGGGACGTGCAGGAAGGGGCCAACCAATGGATAGCTCTCATCATTGATGTTTCTATCTCTCTCTCCCTCTCCCTTCCTCTGAAATCAATAAAAATATTTTTTTTAAAAAAAGGAAAGGTATTACTACTTAGCCCATAGAGAACACTGGGTAAGCATTATTATTGTTTCACTATACTAAACATACCCAATGTCTCCTCTAAGAAATAGCACCTTATCCCATTAGCAGTGCCAAAGGAACTGCCTCAGGAAGGCCTCCAGCGCTGAGCGCAGGTGGTGCTGGGGCCGCAGGGGGGGCACAGGGCTGGGGGAGAGGGCATGCCTGGGTCCCAGGGCCTTGGCCTACTCCCTCCGGCCTTCCCGGGCCCCGCCCCCACCCGCACGGGGGAGGGGGGCGCTGCGGGGGCCAGGGAGGGAGCCCAGCCCTCCGGCCGCCCGGCCCCCGGGGGCCTCACCTGACGTTCATCTTATGGGTGCGGAAGCCCAGGTAGGGGTCCAGCACCAGGCTGGTGGCCAGGTGG